TTTACCAGCAGGAGTTAGTGTCACCAGCTGTTTCAGCAGCACTGAGGTTTTCAAAGTTGGTCTTTGGGTAACTTTACCTGGAATCCACTGTTGAATTTAACTTTATCTGTAGACATGAGTCATTATTCCAAAGTGCCAGGGCAGACTTATCCTGCTGGACATCATGCTTCTACAGTTTCTGATGGGCAATGGATACACAAGTCAAAAGAGGATATACAAAGAAATAAGACAGCAACAATATGACAAATTGGGTCTGCTATTTCTAAAATAATCTTAACTCTGTTACAGATTAATTTTCCTAAGCAGTCAGAATGAACAAAGACAGCAAAGAACACAAGTGTTTAACTTGAAGACTGCAACAAAGATGACCAATTTGAAAGGCGGTGTTGCAGCCACAAGTTCAAATCAAGATTCAGTCCCACACCGTGTTCTGTGTGTTTACTATACAGGAATTCAGTGACCATGTGATAAAGCTATGACTCAGATTTGAAAAGGAATCAAAGAGGCAAAATCAAAATTAGATCAAGTGGATACGAAGTATATGAAAAATGCAAAAGTGAGCCTGGAGACTGAGGATAATGCTAAGTACATGACAGCCAGGACATGAAAAGAAAGAGTAGGAGGGAAAAAGTACAGCAGGAAAGAAGCAAACACAGAAAGAAATGAATACATAGTTGAAAAGGAAGGAAGAATGCTAGGATTAAAGATTGAAGTGAAATAATGGAGCAGTCAATTCTTCTCAGGAAATTTACAGATTAAAAAAAAAAAAAGCACAGGCTTTTTGTGCTGAGAGTCTCTTGAATTTGGTGCTTCCAGCAGGTGTAGGAATTTATCCAAGTGTCAGTACAGCGGCTCCTTTTGCTAGAAGAGATTTCTGTGAAAGGCCAGAAGTTCACCGAGAGACAGAGGCAGAGTCTGAGGAAGCCATAATAGCGAGAGAAATCTTGACATGGGAAGGAAAATGAGAAGCCCAAGAAGGTGGATGTGATGGTGGGAAGCAGTGGTTTCTTTGATGAGAAAATTGAGGTTTTTGCTGGTGAGATGGAGAAAGTCAGATGAGAATACACTACTATGAGAGGAGGGGGAATTCACATCTGGGTTGTCAGGAGATCCTGTGGGTAGGGAAATTCAGCTGCTATGGTTGTGCTTGGCAGAGAACCACATAAGAGCGATTAGAAAGAACTTGCACATGTTTGTGGCCAGGACACAAATGATGGAAAGGAGGACATTTCCAGGGAGGTCTAGTGAAAAAAAAAAGAGCGGGGAGGGAGAATAATACTAGATTTGCTGAAATTTTTGGGCACCTAGCTTGGCTGAATTCTAATCAGGGTGTACTCTTCTAAGCGAAAATTTTTCCCCCTGAGATTATGGATGTGTGGAATCACACAATTGTCAGTAACCTGTAGAGTCAGTAACTTCCCTCCTAAATATTTCTTTTATCATTGTGATTACTTTCACTATCTGCTTTATCTCTTGAATTTTGCCCACTGGTTTATTCCTCTTCCGTTGCAACAGCAATTATCATCTCTCCTTGGGTGCTCTCTCTTTTCCTCTGCTTCACATTTCATTCTTCTTACCAGAGCTGGCTGTGAAGCTGGGAATACAGTGGACTGGAGATTATAGGTTCCTGATGGGCGTATGACCTATCGCCAGCTGACACCTGCATTCCTGATAAACTGTTGACCTTTTTTTGTGCAGAAAACAATTCCTCCCTATGTTCACTTCCTTTCTTTCCCTCAGACAAGCTAAATCTTCTGTTCCTTCCCTCCCCCGATGAAGTGAATAAACTATGTAATTTGCCAAGATTCATTGCAATATGTGGTTTTCTTAGTCTGTTCGGGCTGCAATAATGTAATGTTATAGATTTAGTGGCTCATAAACTGTAGACATATTTTGTTCTGGTTCTTGAGCTGATGAAAATAGCAATGTAGCAGATTTAATGTTTGTTGAATCTCACTTTTCTGTATATAGAGGATATTTTCTGGATATGTACTTATAAGGTATAAGCAATCAAAAGTTCCTTCCTTCCTTCCTTCCTTCCTTCCTTCCTTCCTTCCTTCCTTCCTTCCTTCCTTCCTTCCTTCCTTTCTTTCTTTCTTTCTTTCTTTCTTTCTTTCTTTCTTTCTTTCTTTCTTTCTTTCTTTCTTTCTTTTTCTTCCTTTCTTTCTTTCTTTCCTTCCTTCCTTCCTTCCTTCCTTCCTTCCTTCCTTCCTTCCTTCCTTCCTTCCTTCCTCTCTCTCTCTAGTGTGTGGTTTTTTTAATTATGGCTTTAATCCCATGACCTGATCTATTCCTATTACAGGATTTACATGGAGTTTCAGAAGACACAGTGATTCAAACCATTTAAGGTTGATACTCAAAGAGTAGGGGGGAAGTGTTTTTTGAAAGGTATTAAAATATGGAATGTTTATTTTTCTTAAAGTTTTCTTTTTTTGCCTTAACCTATTATCACACTGTTTTATTTTGTACTGCTTGATTTGTTACCACCATGTTCGTTGAGCATTTGAATACAGTGTCAGAACAGAGGCTGTCAGACACTTGAAAGCTTCACTTCACGCCACCATGCACACGTGAGATTGCAGTTGGCTGTTGGGTTCCCTTTGTTGTCAGCTTCCTGGCTTTCACCATGGACATGAAAAAAAAAATTCATCTTACCCTCCATCAATGGCCATCTTTGGCTAGTGAATAGTTGTCAAGAAATTACATCTGAGTTGTGTGGAGATGCACTTGATCATTTGAAGCAAGAGTAGGCAATAGCAAAGCAAGCTGTGGTGCAGCAAGTGTGAGGATGGCTTTAGCCATGCTCTGTATAGAATCACCAGTCACTTCTTCTTAGTCTCATCACTTCCAGGAGAAGGCAGTTACTGACATTGATGGAAGGAGGGGCCTCTGCTGCATGTTAGATCTGCTTGCTACACCAGCAGTGGGTAGCAGAGGTGACAGGTGAAGGTGGGCAGGTAGAGTCTGTACCTGCCTGGGATCCCGGATATCAGAGGGAACATGGCTAAGAATTAGCACTGGGGAGTCATGCAATGTATCAGATGACAGGGACACATGTGCACCAAAGGGGCTCCCCAAGTTTTTATTGTTGTTTTAGACTTCATTCAAAAAAATAAGACTTTGGCAAATTAAACTTGTTATGAATTTCAGCATGGAAATCATAGAGCATTATCTGTAATACTTTACTTATTGAATGCCCCCGTGATACCAGCCTTTGATATGTAATACATTGCTTGATTCAGTTTATCAGCGATGACTCCAAGTTTAACAAGTAGCAGATTTTTAATGAGAAGTATTACAGACCAGGAAGGAATGGATTGACACTTTCCTCAAGCGTCAGGAAGACATTAATAAAGAGTAATATTTTAATATCATGGCAATATTACTACAGCACATTCACATAGGACCAAGTAGAGGGAATTCTAGATAAATGATTTCATAATATTCTATTTGCTACACTTCTCATTAGTTACAAGTAGTTTCTATTTGCTCACAGCAGAACTCTATATTTAAACTTCATAATAATAAATATATGTTTTATTTAAATGAAATTGAATATGATTCTCTTTTCATTATGGAATGCTGTAAGTAAATTTTGTCAGGCCATTAAGAGTTCATGTGGATACACTTCCCATAATTAAAAAAGCATATTTAGGCACATAGAGTGAATTTTTTCATGTCTTCAGCATAGGCTTTTTGAGCCCTTACCACAGACAGGCACACTCTGTCCTGGAGATGGAACAAATTGAATGTGTAAAGTTAAAATTCCAGGTCAGTTGCTGAAGTGAAGAATCTCAGTAGGCAAACACTGCCTTGCAAAATAGTTCCAAACAGGGTTTTTTGAATTTAGATTGTCTATATATTATAATGTAATTCAATCTACCAAGATACATACTCTTGGTATAAGTCTTTTGTTATAATTGTTAAGTGTATTGAAATCTTGAACCAAGTGAGTGTTCTGCTAACCCCGAGATCTTTATAAGCACAGAAATGCATCTTGTTTCCAGTAGCTGCTGTGTGACTGTTTGGTGAATGAATGTGCATCAGCATAAGAAAGAAAATGTGTATTTTCCTCATATGTTTCCATGCTCCTGTGGTTTTGTGATCACCATTGACTCTTTAAGAGTAGTGAAGGCAGAGAGTGATTTATAATATGTCAAAAAGCGATCCCAACGGATGTTGGAAGCATTAAAGAAAGTTGAAATGTCAGAAGTATGAATATGGTAGGATAGTAGGGTTGAGAGATGAAAAGAATATGTAGGGAAATGATTTAAAGAGGTAGAAAGAGAAGAAAAGAGTAGGTTCATGAGAAAATCTGGCAGTGTGAAGGATAACAATTTAGTTTTACAGTTGTATTTTATGAATGAGAAAATATTTATTTTTTTCAGTAAGGTAATTTTTCAGTGTCACATAAGACTTGATCTAGTCTTGCGGCACAGCGGGTTAAGCCTCTGTCCTAGTTGGCAGCATCCCATATGAGCAGTGGTTCTAATCTTGGATGCTCCACTTTTGATACAGCTCCCTGCTAATGCATCTGGTGATGTCATAGAAGACGGCCCGAGTGCTTGGGCCTCTGCCACCCAAGTGGCGACATGGACAGAGATTCAGGCTCCTGGTTTTGATCTTAATCAGCTCTGAGGTCTGTAACAATATGGCAAGTGAAACAGAGGGTGAAAGATATTCTCTCTTGCTCTTTCTTTCCCAGTAAGCATGCCTATCAAATGAACAAGTGCATCTTTAAAAAGAAGACTTGATCCATAGCAGTTGATATAGAGCTGTTGAACAGAATGGTAGCTGGTAACAGGAAGAGAAACTGAAAGCTAGCCAAAAGTGGGGAAATGAAAGCCCAAGTAGGAATATGAGAGTAAGGAAAGGAGCAGGTTTTATTCATTGTGGACAGAAGAAGTTTGTCTGTTGGAGAAGGTTGTCAGAGAGAAATACTGTGGTGTAGGTTTGTTAAGGACAGAAATTGATTTCTTTCTCCTATTTGAGAGAAAGAAATGACACCTACAAATGACAAGTTGTTTCTATTATTCCCATTGCTAGCTGCACTTCTCCCTGGTGGTGACAACGAAGCTGGTAAGAACTAGTACATGCTCAGTTGGGTACAAGGGGGTGGTATTATTGTGTATTTGCATATGTGTGCCTGTGTGTGTGTGTTTAGTGGGTGATAATTTTCTCCTTCATATGTCTGGGTTGCAGGAGATCCAGGCTGTGCCCATTGAGACCTGATTCTAGTTCTTTGTGCTGTTTTGAAAGTTATTATTAAAGGAGGGGGAAGTTATGACAGGAAGATAGCTGTTAAGATAACCACGATTGTCCTTTCCTTAGGATTCTGAATTCCCAAGTTTCCTTCTTAATCAATTCTGTTTCCTTCCCAATGCCTTTACTAACAATTCCATATGTTCTGTTGCCACAGGGTCTGCAGAGCCTCTCTCCTACCATGTCATGCAGATATCAACTTTCCAAAACCATTCCTGGGAACAGAATCTGGGCTCAGGTTGGTTGGGTGATTTGGAGACACATCGCTGGGAGAGCAACTCTGGCACCATCACGTTCCTGCGGCCTTGGTCCAGGGGCAACTTCAGCAATGAGGAGTTGAAAGAAATTGAAACATTTCTCCATATTCACTTCATTAGATTTACCAGAGAAATTCACAAAAGCGCTATTCATTTGGAATATGATTGTGAGTTATGTTCCCACACTTGGGCGCAGGGAGATGAGTGGGTGGACGTGTCTCGATAATTTTCTAACCTTCTAGACAGCCAGCTTTACTCTCTTACTCTTACTTCTCCCTGACAAACATAAAACGTAATTACACATTTTCTGGCAGTATTTGAATGCCAGGTACCATTTTCTTCAAATATATCAAATATTCACCTACTTTGGAACTAATCTATCATTAATTGTAGGAGCATACTTAATTACCTTTTCTTAGAGGGATCATGTATCCATCCTCCACCCTGACATTCAATCAGGCACTTGCAGCGTCTTCATTATTAATTACTTAAATATGCTTTTTCTTCCCTGTTCACTCCAATCAGCTGACACTGCCTATACATATATTGGGGCTCATTATATTCCATTTGCCCTGGATTGTTATAATCCCAAATCTGTCGCATTGTTTTTCATCGCCCGTACTAGTTCAAGACTTTATTTGAACAATGTCATTTCATCTCTTCTTACAGTTCAACTCCTGTTTACTTTCTCTGCCCCTTTGATCTAACTGAATTTTGATTCATTCCTACAATCCTGTCAAACATTTCCCTTCTGTCTCTATTGTATTTTGCTTCTGTTTTCTGTTTCATCATTTCTATTCGCTCTAACGCATAATCCTTCCTTTCTAGATCCCTTTATCTTGCAGGTGGCAGCAGGTTGTGAGCTGCAGGCTGGCAAGGCATCCGTAGGCTTCCTGCGGAAGGCTTATCAAGGGACAGATCTGCTGACCTTCCAAAACAAGACATGGCTACCATCTCCACATGGTGGAAGTAGGGCCCAGCACGTGTGCAGAGTACTCAATCGATTAGGAGGACTCACGGAAACAGTACACAAGCTCATCAGTGACACCTGCCCACGCTTCATCCTCACTCTACTTGATGCAGGGAAAGCAGATATCCAGCAGCAAGGTCAGTTCTCTGCCTTCCTTCCAAGCATTTCCTGTGCTACAATCACCTTTTACAAGCGCCCTCCTCAAATTAAACTAGCAAGCAGTCACCCTAAAGTGGAAAAGATGTGATTGATTAAACTAATGTAAAGATATGAACTTCTCAGTGAGTTAAATGTCTTGTCTGAATAGCTTTCCTGTTTTATACAGTAAGACCTGAGACCTGGCTGTCCCAGGGCTCCAGTCCTGGGCATGGTCGTCTGCTGCTGGTGTGCCATGTCTCTGGCTTCTACCCAAAGCCCGTGTGGGTAATGTGGATGCGACATGATGGGGAGCAGCCACTTCTTCAGGAAACTGATTTTTTGCCCCATGCTGATGGAACCTGGTATCTTCGTGTAACGCTGGATGTGGCCGCTGAAGAGGCAGCCGGCCTGTCTTGTCGAATAAAGCACAGCAGTCTAGGAGACCAGGACATCGTTCTTCACTGGGGTGAGGCATAATTGGGGCTTCAACTGAAAGTGGGAGAAAGTGATTTCCAAGCACTACAAGAAAGTTTTAATATGTTAATGATTCCAGAACCCCAAGGCTTGGAAAGAATGTGAAACCAAACAACAGAAGGGAAAACAAGGACCTGTAAACACAGGAAAATGTTGCGAATTTAATGAAGGATCCATCTTGAAAGATGGATAAGAAAAAGATGAGAAGGGAGACAGACATTGACACAGACTTAATGAAATAGTGAACTGACACAGTCATCCCAGGGGAACGGGGTGAAGCAACGAGTGGGTGGAGCACTATACGTGGTAGAAGATCTATAATAACATCCCGGTGTCCATCTCAACCCACAGGACGTCACAGTTCTATGAGCTTCATCTTGCTGGCAGTGATCACACCCCTGGCTTTTCTGACGGGCCTTGCGTTTTGGTTCAGGAAGCGAGGGTGAGTTCCATATGTTCATCATTTCATCCAATCATAGTTAAAATTCCTCGGCTCAGGGCTCCTTCCTCTCCCAGTCGTGTTCCTGTCTCCACAGTTCTCATTTCCAGCCTAGGCAGCATGGCCCACATCTCTGTTCTCAATGATTCTTTCCAGGATATTTGGAAGAATTCATCTCCCCTTGCAGTGAGGACCCAGTAGCCATGGACTCAAAATATATCTGAATACAGCATGAGGATGACATTTCACCACTTCTGCTTGTGAAACATGCGTTGTTTTAATTTATTTCTGCTTAGTGATCAGTCAACATAAGCTCAAGTTAATATGACAAGATTTGTTGCTGTGAACTGATATGGGATTTTAAATTCACATTTTTACTGTGAGTGGACTGGAATTCGAGTAGCTGCCACTTTTTCAGATATTAGTGAATTAACAGTTCCATTTCAACCAAATGTCTTCATCTTGCAGGCCTTGCCTGATTGGTTGGAGGTACTCAGTCTCATTCTGGACTTTAGCGTCAAATCCACTGTTCTTTGTTAGGTATATTTCTTGCTCCTTATTATTTATATCACTTTCCCGTTGTAATTTTGCAGCTGCATGAGAACATATCGTTGTACCATTGTGCTATTTGTATTTCTGTTGAAATGTGAAGTTTTCTTGTTATGTTCTGTGTAATGGCTGAGATATCAGATGTGGTTCTTGTTGCAAATCTTCTCACTTGACCTAAAGATACACACATTCCTAGTTATACCATCTCTTCTGAATCTGTTTAGAGAAACACAGTTGTATCTCCTACTGATATTATGGTGCCATAAATAGCATAATTGCAAAACTAGTCAAATATCCTAAACGTAAATGTCAAGGATCATGTGGGGCCCTATTATAAAGATGGAATAGTACTCAGCCACAAAAAAGGAATGAAAACCTGTCTTTCACAACAGAATGGATGGAGCCAGAGTTTATCATACTAAATGAAATAAATCCTATGATGCTTCTGATTCGTGGTAGTTAATATGCAGAGTGCACAAAATGTATTAAATACAACCAAAACTGACTTTCTGAGACTTGATTATTTCATATAGCCCTTATATACACTTTTGAGAAACAGGGTGTTTTTTACTACTACTTGTTAAGTTGCGACTTGTTGAGTTATTCATTAGAAGATAAAGTTTGTTAATATAAAAATATTGAAAATATGCTATTACAGAAATTAAAATAATAAAAGGAGGAAGTAGGGTGGGAGTGAAAGAGGTAGAAAAGAAATGGCAGAAAGTAGCATTATGATGTTAAGACTGTGTACACAAAATGCAAAAAATGCATTATTGCAGCAATTAAAGACAAAAAATAAAAAAGGGAGCCATTTGAGCAGGGGGAAGAAAGGATGCAAGATGGTTATTTTCTTAGAATTGGATTTACGAAAGACAGGACACTTGTCATCTTTATACTAAAAAATTTAGAAAATAATTACATCCACAGTTATTACAAAGGGACAGATCTACAGATGATTAAATTTTGGGAGGTGCAGATGTTACATGATGCTTCCAGTGCAGCACAGAGGATCATGGAGAGCAGCAGGAATGTCATCCGTGAGCAGTGAAATAAGGTCGAGGCAAGCACAGTGTGCAAAGTGCAGCGCTTCATCCATGGCAGTTATCTTCCGTATATCCTGGGGATGACTGGGTCACCGGACACTGAGTCAGTGCTCCTTGGGAGTAGCTGCTGAAGCAACCTACTCAGCTGGCATCAAGGAACAATCCAAAACGCCAGTAAGTATATAAATGATCACCAAGCTAGTGTTAGAGAAAAGCAACCAATGTGAGACATCGTGCCCTAACAACATCACAGTATCACCTAAGCTAGTACTCATAGGGAGATGTGACATACGAGTTTCTTTGTGAACTCGTCGTGGCAAGATGATTCTAGACAGACTGTGACCAGCTAATTATTTAGCCATTGCCCAGTAACTCAGGAACAAAATAGAAGTGATATTCAAAAACATTTGTTTTCCTCAGTGCCATCATAGCAGTAAAATGTGATCTGATGTAGTAGACGGAAACAGACTACATATAAAGTAACGTAGAAAGTTCCTTTGGGAGAGTGCTGGATGGAAGACATCAGTGCATAAAGCATGTTCTCTTCTACCCCTCGTGGTTATTCAGCTTGTAAACATGAAGCAATGCCACATGTCTGAAGAATGCACGAAAGCAGAGTGGCAAATTAGTTACAATTTGGGCAAGGAAGGGAAAGGGGGAATAGGGACATGAATAAACTAAAAATTAAACCTTATCAGATCAAATTAAACCTATAAGCAATAAAGTGAGGTGATTAACCCAATAGTCTACATTGCTTTCCAAGGCTCCTCCAACAAAACCCACCCACAAATCAGAAAATACTTGAGTCTGTAACAGAGATTGAAATGAAATAATGAGTTGCACCATGGTCACCAATTGAGAAAACAATAAAAGCCATAGCATTTTATAAAAATAACTACACAGAGAATCAAGATATCTACAACATTGGAATTCTCACTGAAAACATACAATTTTATCTAGCGATTATAAAGGATTGTCACAAGATTCTGTATTTCACCACTAGGTGGCAGGAGATTAAAACAATTTTAGCATCCTTGTTTTTAAGATGAATTATTAATGTTTCCTAAGACTTATTCTTTTAGTTTTTATTGGAAATCCAGTCATACACAGAGGAGGAAAGACAGAAAAAAAAGATCTTCCGTGCACTAGTTCTTTACCCAAGCAGCTGCAAGGGCTGGAGCTGTGCCGATCCGAAGCCAGGAGCCGGAGCCGGAGCCGGAGCCATTTCCAGGTCTCCTATGCAGGTGCAGGGTCCCACGGCTTTGGGCTGTCCGTGTCTGCTTTCCCAGGCCACAAGCGGCTCCCTGCTTGTGGCCTGGGAAAGCAGTGGAGGAGGGACCAAAGCCTTGGGACCCTGTACCTGAAAGGGAGACCAGGAAAAGCTCTTGGCTCCTGGCTTCAGATCAGCTTAGCTCCAGCCATTGCAGCTACTTAGGGAGTGACCCAGCAGACAGAAGTTCCTTCTGTCTGTCTCTCCTTCTCTTTGTATATCTGACTTTCCAATAAAAATTTTAAAAAAATAAATATTTAAAAAAATATTTTCTGTTTAAAGGAATTAACAACTTTTCAGCATTTTGCTGCATTTTCTTTATTTTTAGACCCCATCTATGTACACATATGTCGTATTTTTCTAGAAAATAGACACTAATAATGCAAATAATAAATTTATGATGATATCACAGTGATAGGAAAGCGGGCATATTGGCACGTACATAGTATAATTTAATAAAGTGTTATTCTAATCTATGCAAGAAATGGTGCAGCACCTTAATAATTTTGTGCTATATATATTTTTCTTCTTTTTTCTTGTTTGCCTGAATGGAATTGCATTTTATGTATGTATGGATGCATGTGTATGTATATACACATACACAAAACGCATACACACTCATATACATGCATATATGCATAGATACAATGTATATATGTGCATATGTAAATACACACACTCATGTATGTATAAAATGTCATATGCATATATGTAAAATAACATTTTGTTGACCTAATCATGGGTTGATGGACATGTAGGTATATGTTTACACTTCATGCTGTAAATTGAGCTCCTTTAGACATGCAACTGCAGGTAGCTCTTTCCAAACTGATTTTATGCCTTTGGATTTACTTCCAGAAGTGGAATATGTGGGTCACACGATGGATCCACTGTAAGTTTTCTGAGGAATCTCCGTATTGTTCTCCATATTGTTTCTATAGTTTCCATTCTCAAAAACGGTGTAGTAGGGTGTTTTTTTCCCCTAATCTGATGAGTATTTTCTTTTTTAACCTTCTGTATACCAACCAATCTATCTGAAGTGAGGTGATGTCTCACTTAGAATTTTCATTTGTATTTCTACGATGCCTAGTGACTCTAAACATTCCTTTCACGTTTGTTAGACGCTTGTAATTTCTGTTGTCAAAAATATCTATTCATGTGCTTTGTCTTTTTCTCAACTGGATTTTTCACTTGTTGAGCTTCATGAACTCATCATGTATTCCGGAAATCAATGCACAATCCAATGCATATGCATGGTTTGTCAATATTTTCTCCCATCCTTTCACTTGTTTTATTCAAACTCTTTCGTTTACTGCCTTCTTTGGTGTACCTAGCTTCTTAGTTTACTGTAATTATATTTGTCTAATTTTTTTCCCTGTGCTTCTGGAATCTCAAACAAAATGTGTGTTTTTTTTTTTGTTTGTTTGTTTTTTTTTTAGCTAGACCAAATGTTTGTAGGACTTTTACTGTATTTTCCTCTTTTAGTTTGGTGATTTCAGGTATCGAGTTTAGAGTTCTGGTCTACTTTCTGTTGATTTTGTGGAGGGTGTGAGGAAATGTTCTTGTCTCAAACTTTTGTGTGTAAAGTTCTGATGCTGATGTTCTTTCTCCATGGAATGACTTTACCAAATGTTGGCTGGATGTAGATTTGTGGAATTATTTGTAGATTTTTACTTTGTCTCATTGGTGTATGTAATGTTTTTATGATAGTATGTTCTCGTCATGATAACAGTACCGTGGTATGTTCTGAAAGGTGATATATTGTGATGCCTTGAGCCTTGTTTAGGCTTTTAAAGATTGATTTGTGTATTCAGATGTTTTTGTTTTTCCCTGTGAACTGTAGGATTGTTTTTTCTAGGTCTGGGAGGAATGTTCTGGGAATGTTAATGGAGATTGCAATGAATTTATACTTTATCTTTGACAATAAGAACAGTCAGATAATCTTAATTTTTTCAGTCCTTGAAAATGAAATATTTTTCTATTTTTGTTTCTTCTCCTACTTTTTCATTAGTGTTTAATAATTTTCATTGCAAAGTACTTTTGCTGTCATGGCAAATTTATCCCAATGTATTTAATTTCTGTAGCTATTATGCATGGGAGGGATCTTAATGATTTTTTCTCTGAACCAGATCACTGTTAATAAAAAAAAAAACTTTTTTTTGTATTGATTTTGCTGAAGTGTCTTATTGGTTGTAATAATCTGTTACTGACTTATTGTGGTCTCCATATTCCAAGAATCCTGTCACCAACAACTATAGATAATTTGACTTCCTCCTTTTCAATTTATATCCATTTAATTCTTTTTCTCTACTAATGGTTTTGGCTGAAAGTTCCAGCACTAATTTGAAAACAATGATGTGAGTGGACATCCTTGTGTATTTTTTATTATAATTTGAATTTTTGATGTTGAATTTTGTCACTTTCATTTTTGCCTACCTCTTAACACTTCAGTGTAGAGATTATAATTTGTTCATTCTTCACAGTGAAGTTATAAATGATTTACACAACATATTACTCTATAAGAACATTTTAATGTGCTTGCATAATTATTTCTCCCTGTGGATTTTTTTGCCTTCTCATAGTTTATTCTTTTTTGATTTAATCTCTTTTTGGGATCTTTTATTGTTATTATTTTGCAGGGTATGGGTTTGTCGGTTAAGGGATTTCCCCTCTACCTCTCATTTTTTTCCTCCACATACCCCATCCCCCAACAATTTTTCATATCTATTTTCTTATATATTATGATAGCATAGTCCTTCAGCTACAGTCACTAAGTCCAGGATTCTGCTATTTAAGTGTGTCATGGCATTTTAGGTTTAGAAAATGGTAGAAAATCTAGTATCATATCGTCAAAGTATATTGAACCTTTTTTACAGTTAGAAGGAACCCCTTTTTTTACATTCCTCATAACGTGGCTCAGGTGGAAGCAAATTCTCTTAGCTTTTGTTTGAGCGTATATTTATCTCTCCTTCATTTATAAAGGATAAATTTAAAGGCCACAACACTTTGGGTTGGATGCCCCTCTGCCACATCCCCAAATAGTCCACCTATTTCGCGCTGCTTCTCCTGGGTCTTCAGGACACAGCTGGATTGGAAGTAGAGCAGCTGGGATTCTAACCAGTGACAAATGGGATGTCTGCATCACAGCGTACCAGCTTCACCCCACAGTCCACAGTCCAGGACTGACGAGCTTTCTGTAGTTGACTTGACACCTGTTTTCTTTTTAAGACAGGTCATAACCCACCCAAAATTCTTGGTTGGTTACTATACAATGTCATCTATGCGCTGACGCATTATAGAGCTCCTCTGGCTTGATTTGCGGTTTTCCTTCTGGAAATTCTAAGCCTTCTGATTTTATTTTTCCTGTATTTTAGCACTAGATATTACCCTAATTCATTTTTTTTTCTTCAGGTCCACTATTGATATGGCTTTAATAATTCTCTGCTATCTTGACTTGGTCCCAAGTCTGTGATTGATGTGTTATCTAGCGTAAATAGGGAGATGTCTAAAAATGGGTAGTCTTTCCCTGCAGGTTTCCCTGGGCCTTTCATAAGTGCAGTCTCCTTAGTCTGTGTCACCAAATGCCACAGTGCTAGATCACATCTAAAGCACTCAGCATATCAACCAAGGCCTGGGGTTGGACTCAAGTTCCATCTGCTGTGGTTTGTCTGCTGTTTATACTCATTACCTGATGTCACACCCAACATTTAGACGATTAGTTGACTGGAGTATAGG